CGGACTTAACAGCCCATAAACTTTTTTGTATCAACAAATAAAATATTTACAGACACCGTGATAATAACATATGAATAGCATTAGGCCTATGTGTACTATAAAAGTCATATAAATAAAAACATCAAGCTCTGCACAGAAAAATGAATAAAAATAAATGGTTAATCAATACAAAAGTGAACAGGTAGGCTAACTTAACAACAAGTGAGTAGCCTATACACTTCCCTCTTTCGTTGGCCAGTGGGATGGTAGAAGGGTTAGAGTTAGGCTATTTTGGTTCTTGAGACCCAACCACTAACAACAACAAACAACTTTAATGATCCCACGTGAGGCAATTCATTTGTAGCATACTCATCCCAAGCATCAACCACAAAAACATACAGTTTCCTATGTTATGCACAGTCCAGTAAAACAGACCACTAGGTCATTGAATGGCCCAAGTTAAAAAGTTACATCCAATATTATAAGAATGTGTAGCCCATTATTTTTGTTTTTGGATTTGTGGAGAAAGTATTTTGAGTATTATGCTCACAATAATTGCAAACAGTCACACTTCAGTGCAGCGCAGTGTCATCTTGATTCACTGCAGCAGTGGGTTGATAAGCAGCTTGTAGGAAGTTACTCAGGGTCAAACGTTTGTTGCTTCCACACTTTGACTTTGTCTCTTGTCAGGCATTGTTGATTAGTAGGTTATTCTGTAAAAAAAGAACAGAATTTATTACAATTAATTTCACATCAAAGTGAAACTCAAAATAAACTTTATTTAAGTCGGGGCGTCGGTGGTGTGGTGGATGGTGCCGGCGCCCCATGTGCAGCGGTCGCAGGTTCGACTCCGACTTGTAACCCTTTGCTGCATGTCAACCCCCACTCTCTCTCTCTCACCCCATTTCACTCTGTCCTGTTCATTAAAGGTGAAAAGCCCCAAAAATAATCTTTAAAGAAAAAAAAAAAACTTTATTTAAGTGTCTTCAGTATAAAGAATAAAATAAGGTGAATGACATAATTTAGGAACATTTAATGTCAGTGTCAGATTAAATTTGCTATTCTGATGAATTGTTGTACAGTAAATTAAACTACGTACTGTAACAGTATAATTAGCTCGACTGCAGCCAGCTACCATATTAAAATGTTTCTAACATGTTACTGCATCAATAATAATAAAACCAATATTATAAAAATGTAGTGAGAAAGACCATCATAGTGAGTACTTTAATTTTTAAAATGTGGTCTGGCTACTTAAATAAAGGATCTGAACACAGCAGCAGTGCTTCTGTGTTTAATATGGAAGATATACTTACACTTTGAGTGACATGTAGTTCCACGTGAGGTCCTCTTAGTTTCTGTGTCCAACACACAACATCATCAGAACAACAAAGACAAATAATAATTAGCAGATTAAGACAGAATGTGTTTTCTTACCTTTTTATATATGCAGTAAAACACAAGACCTGCAATCAATACAACCACGACTCCAACCACAACGACTCCAACCACCACGCCTACAATAACTCCTGTAGCTCCTGAAACAGAAGAAGAGTCAGTGTTA